TTAGAGTGTGGTCAATCTTTGAGTTTTGTTTCTGTTCTATAAGGAGAATCAATATTCCACCCCAGTGGGGGAGTCTCTGTTAATGATCAGGGTTTTGATTCCATCTTTACATTTCATTTTCTGAAGGTCCATCTCTATATGTTTGCTCATTACCGCAAGAGCTTGACCTGAAACTGCTCACATCACATTGGAGGGTACCATTGTCTTCCTCCTTGAAAGGAAAAAGGGAATTTGTCCCACTAACTAACTGGTGAATGGAAAACCTCTCAACACTGTCCCTGTTTTAATCGCAATCAACTGAGACTCTGTTCTGCTAAGCTAAGCCTTCATTAGTCATCTGGGTGTGTGTGTGTGTCTGGTTCTGTTTTGTTTTACATAACATTTTTAAACCGAATATTTAGCCTGTGACCAGGCCAAACCCTGAGCCTTCTGGTAGACCTGAAGAGTGGTCCTTCTCAGTCGACCTCCCAGTGATGACCTTACACTCATACTGTGAATTTGGGAGGAGGTACAATTGACTTCTCGTGGGCAGTTTTCCCAGTTACCATCATCTGAGTAGCACCTGCCAATATTATTTGAAATTTTTTTGTTTTTTAACGACACCCTCTCTTTTTCTTCTCGCCTCTCCCACAGACTTCCTTCCCCCTGGGTCCAGGCTCAGAACTGAGACCTCTGTCCCCGGTGCTGCCAGACTAGTAAACAGTGATTCCAAGTAGCGCAGCCCTCGTATGATTCGCAACTCAGTGACCTTCCTAAAGTTTCGGGAAGCAGGGTTGTCTGATATGCACATTTCTCCTCTTGGTCATATTTTCCTTTATTAGTGTCACTCACCTTGGACAAAGTGACTTTGTGCTCATTTAGGGCTCTGTCTGAAATGCTTCCATTTTGCCTTTTTCTGCAGTTAGGCTAACTTTGAAATGTGTGGAATTCTATGCAACATTTATGTTGAGTTACCAATGGAAGCCAAAATTCTCTCCCAAACTGCCAAGAATTACACAGGCCATAAATGAGATGGGAATACCTTTTAATTTAAGGTTGGGAGTGGGGTGGGGGTGGGGTGGGGGTGGGACCAGGAACGAGATTTGCCTACACCTTTGTTGTATCTTGGGAACATTTTTTTTTATTATTATTATTTAATTGTTGATACTCTAAACTTCAGAATTCTGTGTATTCAGATTTGATCGTGGCGAATCTACTTCAAAAGGAAAAAATAATCCAACTTGGTGGGTATCCGGTGGGGGGTTTGCTGTTCTGATCCAGTTGTTTTCCAGTGGAGCGGTTTATGAAATATGTTCTATAAGATGTACATTTTTCATTGTAACATAGAAATTGTAAATAATCGATTAAAGTGCTGCATTTTGATGAATTTTTTCTAGCCATTTTTAAAGAGAAAACTAGGAATTGAGTATTTTGTGTACGGTATGCTCCCACCCGCCCTGCCCTTCCTGCTGCCCCCCCTCTCTCCCTATTTAATTTTCATTTGTCATGAGGTTTCTGGATTTGCCAGTGATCTGCTGGAGATCATGCCCCACGTCATGGAGAATAAAGCTGATGATTGTACCAGTCTTAAATTATTCATGATACAATAAAATTGATGCTTATTTATTCAGATTCATGGTTTGGCTTTTCTGTGCCCGGGCAAGCCCTCGTCGGAGTTCAGTTTCATGCCAAGGGGAAGTTGTTCTGACTTGGGTGCAACACACACAGGGAGAGCCCAAAGCATTTGCAAACCTACCTTTGCCCGGACGTCAACATCCTGCACCCTCTCGGTTTCTCAGGAGTTACTGGTGCTTGCAGGGTCCTGAGGAAATGCAGATCCTGACTGAGCAGGTGCAGGGGGGGCCCGAGGTCCAAGCCCCTAGGCGATGCCCCTGCCCTGAGCCCTAGACCACACTGAATCGCCAGCAGTATCAGTATCCCGCCAGCCCGCCATTCGACCCCTTGGCCCAAGAAAGACTTTAAAAAAATGTATTGAGTACCTACTAATTGCCACATGCTTCCCAAATCCTCAAATGTAATCTGCAAAATGACCCTGAGAAGAATGTAAATATTCTTATTCACATTTTACAGTCTAAAAAAGGCTCCGAGGAAACAACTTACCGAGGGTCCTATAAGCGAAGAAGGGAGGGTTGGTACTTCCGCCTCATCTTCTCACCCAAGTCCCGCCACTGGGCTGTCCCCAGTCCTGGCGCCCGGTCCACGTTGTAGCTGTCCTCCACGGCAGAGCCACGGCAGGCAGTGGGAGGGGACGCTCACTTAGCACTCACCTCCAACAGCAGCGACAATAATCGCGGAGGTATGGTTTGAAGAGAGGCCGGTGGACTCACCGAATTACCCTCCCCAGCCGGCTCTACTGCTAATGATGTGAAACCACCGCAGTGCGCAGGGGCCCGGCAGGGAGGGGAGAATCCAGACGCTCAGCACAGGCAGTTCTGAAAGCCTGTCGGAAAAGTGAAGGGGGCTTGTGCAATGGTTCGGCAACGAGAGGTCCTGAGTTTCCAAGATTTTCCATACCCTAATCTCTACCCCATTGCTACACAATCTATTCTGATGATACCTAGGAAATATGATCAGTGTCTGTGAAGGGCATGATAGGCTAGAGGACTTTGTAAAAGAAGGAAGAAAGGGAAGCGTGCATTTGAGTGCTTGCTGTGTGCCAGACACTTCTGAGACTTTCTCCTGATCACACGTCATCACAGCACCTTGAAGAGGGGGTGTGATCCCCATTTACCAGGGAGAAAACGGATGACTGATAGTAAATAATGTACGTGGTAGGAATGGACTTCTTGGTTGACCTGATTCTAAAACTCTGCCCTTTCTGCCACTCGATGCTCCTACCCTCCCCTTCGGTGAGACTTGGAGGGGGATCGCAGGTCCCTTCCACATTTGTTGTCTAATTCTCCCAGCAACTTGCAGCCTAAAGCAACACACCTTTCTCAGTCCGAGTGGATCAGGAGTCCTGCGTGGCTTAGCTGGCGCTCACGAGGCTGCAGTCTTAATATTTACAAGGAACATTTAAAAGCAAGAACTATATTAAACATCATATGTAATGGTAAAATGCTGAATATTTTTCTTTCGGGATAGGAGACAGAGAGGCCTCCTCTCATCCCAGCAGAGACCCTCACCAGTGCAGAGAAGCAAGAGAAATGAGTCATGAGGATTAGAAAGGAAGCAATTAGACGGTCCTTCTTCACAGATAATATGTACTTAGGTAATCCAAAAGAATTCAGAGTGTTAACAATAATAAGTTGAATAAATTGTCTGGAAATAAAATCAGCACACGAAAATCAGCTGAACACTGATATGCAGCCAAAAGTTTAGATAATTAAAAAACACCGTTTTAAGAGCATCGAAAACATCTAATACCTAGGAATAATGTGATGTAAGATGTGCACCATCTCTACACAGAAGCTCTACAACATTGCTAGGGGCCAGTAAAGAGGACCCAGAGTCAGGGATATGTCTGTGGACTGGAAGACAATGTTGCAAAGATGTCAGTTCCTCCAGAGCGGACGGGAGCTTTGATGCAGTCCCGCTGAAAAGCTCAATGTAATTTTCATGGAACTGACAAGCTGATTTATATGTATATTGAAATGCAAAAGGTGAAGCTCCGCTCATGAAGAACAAGGAGAGATTCTTCCACCAGAGAGCAAGTCTTGCTATAAAGAGCATTAAGATAGTGTGGCATTGTTGTGAGAACGGTCAGATAGTTCAAGAACATAGAATAGAATAAATATTTCCAAATAATCCTAACACACACTTGCTCTCCTGCATGGATTTAGGAATAACATCTCTGACCAAAGGACCCATTTTATGGAGAAGGGATGTTCACAGGGGACACCTGATAATAGAACCCCCCAGTTCCTAGTACAGAACTACCCCCGAAAGGCTCCGTTAAGGCACCAGTGTGGGTAAAACCTTCTGTGCCGGGCCCTGTCCCCCAGGAGGCAGTATACATTTTCACACATTAGCCATTATTGGTGTCTGAGTGCCTGCCAGCAGTTAGGGTACCCGACTTTCTGCTCTAATTAGAGGTGCTTGTCCCTGGTGTGTGGGGGGCAGGTGGGAGGAGGTGGAAGAGGGTCACTTCTCCTCTACCACTGGATTTGAAACTACGCCTGCTACCTGACACCTGGACTGCGCACGCTCACAGTGACAGGAGCTGCTGCGCCGGCCGGGACCGGCCTGACGCCAGGGGGTGGGGGCTGCAGCCTGCAAGCAGGGAGAAGCGTGGCTGGCACTCGGAGAACTCGGGCACCTGTTGCTGTCCGTACCTGGTGAGAACTGTGAGTGAGTGTCTGCGGCCACCACAGCCCGCGGAAGTGAAGGTGTGGGTCGTCCAGGCCTATGAAGTGCCGGCTGAGGGGGGGCACAGAGTGGGGAACAGGGCCGTAGAGGTGGAGACGAGCTCGGTCCACTAACCCTCCCAATCTGAGTCATTTTTTTTTTTAATTCTCATCCGAGGACATTTTTCCATTTTTGTTCAGATAGAGTGGGAGGGAGAGAGAGGAAGAGAGAGAAACATCAACGTGAAAGGGACACATCGAGTGGCTGCCACCCACACAACCCCAACTGGGGCCGGGGACAAACTGCAACCAAGGGACGTGCCCTTAGCAGGAACCGAACCCGGGACTCTCTGGACCACGGGCCGACGCTCTAACCGCTGAGCCAAACCGGCCAGGGCTCAATCTGAGTCTTTTTTCGAGGTTGCGACCAGCCACCACCCTCTGGGAGCATCAGTAACAGAGAGGGCTCCATGGGCCCACCGCCTCGCGAGACAGGGGCTGCAGCCCCCCAGCACCTCCGTCCCTGCCTGACCCCCTTCTCAGTGCCACAGACATTCATTCAGTCCAGGTCGACAGAGGAGTTAGAGCCCAGGACAAGCTGCCACCAGTAAGGTCCAGGCTGAGGGGACAGTGCCCGGCTGTCCCGTCCCTCTGGGGGACGAGTGGGAGGCACGTTCTGGGGAGCTCCCAGAATTCCTGTGGACACCCTTCCTTGTGCCCTTTTAGGGCTGACGCAGGGCCTTAGGAGGCTGAGACAGAAGGGTACAGTAAGTCCCCATAAAACCCAGAGAAGAGAGGGTAAGACTCCTCTTTGGATTCTGTCTGGAGTCACAGCTGGGGAGAAAGGAAGGAAGGAAGGAAGGAAGGAAGGAAGGAAGGAAGGAAGGAAGGAAGGAAGGAAGGGAGGGAGGGAGGGAGGGAGGGAGGGAGGGAGGGAGGGAGGGAGGGAGGAAGGAAGGAAGGAAGGAAGGAAGGAAGGAAGGAAAGAAAGAAAGAGAAAGAAAGAGGATCTACCTTCAGTCATGAACAGGGTTACTTGAGTGGTGTTTACATAAAACTAAGTAGCTTATCTTTCTGCCCTTGACTCTCTTCCTCTCAGGCCTTGGGGCAGTGGAATGTTTGAGGGTGAAGAAGGCACCCGTAGTGGCTAAAGTTTCTTCTCTGGGGGGGGGGGGGACAAACCTGCTACAAAAAATAAATAAAAGAATTCCCCAGTGGGACTGAGCCCCAGCTGCCCACAGGGATGGCTAAGGGACCCGTAACTGGCCTTCTCCCTTCCTAGCTGCATTTTGTCTGCTCCCTCACTCAGAGCTGTCACCCCTGAGAATGAGTGCGCCTTAACTTCGGTACCTGAGACACCTCACTGACCCCACCCTGCTCCCAGCCGCACAGCCCACGTTAGCTGTCTGCATCCAGCCTGCTCTCGGGTCCGGGAGGACAGCTCAGCCTTCCTACTCTTCAAGGGATCATTCGGGATTGAATCGTGTCCCCTAAAGTGGTGTGTTAAAGTCCCAGCCCCCAGGACGCAGAGTGTGACCTTATTTAGAAAGATGGTCTTTGCAGAGGTAACGAGTTACGATGAGGTCACACTGGAGCAGGGTGAGCCCTGAAGGCCATCTGCCTGGTGTCCCTGCGAGACAATCATGGGAAGATTGAGGAAAATGCTCTTCGAAGGTGGAGCAGAGACAGGAGCTGTGTGGCCAAGGAGCACACAGCTTCCCCCAGAAGCCAGGAAGAGTCGAGAAAGGACTCCACCCCAAGTCTCCCTGCTGACACCTTTGTTTCAGACGTCCAGCCTCCAGAAGTGGGAGAGAATACATTTCTGTTGTTTTAAGCCACCCAGTTTATAGTGTTTTGTTATGGCAGCCCTAGCAAGCTAACAGAGTTATACGCCCAACAGGAATGCATATATATAAAAAAATCAAGAAATGTGTACACAGATGTGCAGAGCAATGAGAATGTTCATTATAACAAAACCTGGAAATATTCACACGTCCACTGACAGCAGAATGACAAATGAAATCGTGATGTGCAGAGTCATTCAGCCGGGGAAACATCTGTGGGTGGATGGTGCGTGAACGCTGAGTGAAAGCAGCCAGACACGGAGGATGCGAGTGCATGGCCATTGGCATCACGCCCACACTGCCATTTAGGGGTGCGTGCCTGGGTGGTTCATAAAACTATACAGAAAAACCAGCCCTGGCCAGTTTGGCTCAGCGGTTAGAGCGTCAGCCTGTGGTCCAGAGAGACCTGGGTTCGGTTCCCGCTAAGGGCATGTATTTCAGTTGCGGTTTGTTCCCGGCCCTGATTGGGTCGTGTGGGTGGCAGCCACTCGATGTGTCCCTTTCAAGTCGAAGTTTCTCTCTCTCTCTCTCTCTCTCTCTCTCCTTCCTGCTCTATCTGAACAAAAAGAAAAGAAAAATCAGAGGCAGGGCCAGCGGTCAGAGAGGGTGAAAGGCTTCGGTTGCGGGCAGTGTCCTGTTTCTTGACTTGCACGGTGACCGCACAAGCTTTTGCTTTGTAATAGATCACTGAGCGGTGTATCTTTGTTTTGTGCACTTTTTCTGTGGTTGTTGCACTGTACAATGGGGTTTTCAAAAGGACACCTGCCCAGGCTAACCACACCTGTCCGGCTGGCTTCAGGCGGCGATGCGTCCAGAGTGTCTATGTCGCCAAGCGCTTCCTGACTCTTCCTCGTCCTCCCAGCTCTCGCTTCCTGCAACGTCTGCAGGGTATCAGAGCATCAGAGGCTGGAGCTGGGGAGCCTCAGAGGGTGAGACTGAGACCAAAAGGGGAAGATGCAGAGAGGCGCACCTGGGCCCCAGGCAAAGGCTGGAGGGCCCCCTGACAAGGAGCAGGAGAGGATCCCTGCCCTGGGAGGCAGGTGAGTCCAGGTGGTCACTGGAGCTTTGCTCTTTCTCACTGGGTGGCATTGCTTCAGGCAGGGCATGGTGGAAGGAGCCCTGCGGTCTGGAGAGCTGAGTACTGGCTCCTACCTTGGCTGCTTCCCTCGGAAAAGTCCCACCTGCTCTCGGACCATAGTTTTCCATCTGTCTATTCAAGGCATTGGACTAGCTCAGTGGCTCCTTAATACAGCTGATCCCACTATCCCAGGAAGCACATTGGAAACAGACTGGAGTGTGGGAGACCGTTTGCATGGCATCCATCTGGTTAAAGTCTGCTCTGCTGTCTCCGGCCCCAGGGCGGGGTCTCTCTGCGTGCAGTGTCTGCATTCCTCTAGATAATTGTTTACTCCATTCTTGCTTATCATTTGTTCCACCTGGGGTATTTATTGGAATTTGCTTCAGGTGGGATACTCATTAACTGTTTCACCTGTTTTTCCCCTATATATTATGTGAACTCCCCCTGAATAAACGAGACTTGATCAGAATCCTGTCTTGTCTCCATTTCTCCTGTCTCTTGTCCCTCCTCATCCTCACTCCCCCTCTAGAGTCCTCGTTGATTGACCTGCGGGCTGGGTCACTGGAGCCTCCCACCTTAGCCCTGGGGAACGAGAATGTGCTGGGGACACAGACCTCTCCCAGGTCCTGCATCCCAGGCTGCAATTCCAGGCAGCCCGTTATACCTCAGAATGGCCACGAGGGGGTAGCAAAGCCCAAGCAATGCCACATGCCAACGCTCCAAGGGCTGGACTTGCCTTGGTAAAATTCTTTCTCAATCTCTCAATCAATCTCTCTCTCTCTCTCTCTCTCGTTCTCTCTCTCTCTCCCCCCCTCCCCTCTCTCCCTCCCTCCCTCTCTCCCACCCCCTCTAATTTAGGTAGAGTATTTTTTTATTATTTTTTTTAAAGGATTGGCATGACCCTCAAAAGACTGAGCATGGTACTTTTCCTCTGCTCCATGCTTGGAGGATGAAGCTGAATTCCCTATACAGGAAATGGCAGAATGTGTGTCTGGCATCTTCTTCAGCCAAGCAATTTGCCCTCACGGAGCCCTGAGCTCCATACAGCAGGCACGTGAGGTCTGCGTCCTCATCCCCACTCCACTGCATGCTGGCTAAATCTTGTGCGAGGTCTCACTAATCAGGGACAGACTAAGGATTTGAACCCAGCGCCTCCAGATTTCAAAGCTTGGAGTCCTACTCCTACACCGCACCCTACCCTCGGCCTGCAGCTGCCCAGGTGCTCACATTCACAACCCCGTTGGTGGTAAACCCCGACTCCGCAGGTGAGGCCCAGGGGCATTATTACACTTACAATAGGAAACTGAGGCTGGGGTGGGGGGGGGGTCCCAGAACACACCCTGAGCTAAGGGTGCTGCCAGAACAGGGACCCCGGTGTCCTGGCTTCTTTCCTGGGCGACTAAGGAAGTAGCGAGGGCACAGGCTCGGAGCTGTACAGAATGGGTTCAAATCTCAGCTCCACTGTCTGCAAGCTGTCCCCCTGGGCAAGTGTTACTCCCTGAGCCTCAGTTTGCTCATCTGTAAAATGGACGTGACAATATCCTCCTGTAGTACATCCCTCATCTGCTTCTCCTAACCAAACCCTGGTATTGTGCCGGTATTTGCTCCTCCCGCACCGGGTGATGAGACTGGAGAAGGCTGACCCCGACCCCTAACCCTAACCCTAACCCTAGCTGCTCCCCCTCCAGGGTGGAGTATATGTTCTAAAGTTAAACCCAGTCTGTTTCCCAGGGGGTTGGGTCCTGAATAAACATATCATGCTGCTTGCAGGACTCTTTGAAAAAGGGACGGCTTCTGGGAAAGTTTCTTATGTCTTAAAAGAGATTCTCAGAGCAGATCCAATTCCTCTTCCTTTGACTATTGTCATGTCTGGAGGTGACCTGGACCTGGTGCTGTCATCTTGAGATCAAACTTAGGATGAAGCAACCTTGAGCAGAGGCAGGACCAGATCTGCTGCGTGTTGTCCTGCTACTCATCCTTGTGAGAGCCCATCCTCCCTGGGGACTAGCAGTTAAATGAGATAACACAGGGCGTTGGCCTGAGTCAAGGTTTCAGTGACAAGCCTTTGGGAGTTTGCCTGAGGGACGCACCACCTGCTGAGACAGACCTGTTATCCTGAGCACAGGGTCTGGGGGCAGCACCCCATAACCCAGGGCAGCTGCTGCTTCTGCTCTTCCGGTTGCTCCCAGGGAGGATCTCAGCCACTCTGAGGTGCAGGGTGCTGGCCAAGACCCTGCATTCCCCAGCTGGCCGGCCTGAGTCTAACTCCCAGTCCTGCCACTTACTAGATATGGGACCTTGGGCAAGTCACTTAACATTTCAGTACCCCTGTTTCCCCACCTGTGAAATGGAGATGATAATAACAATACCTACTTCTTAGAATTATTGCAAATTATTAGGTGAAGTTCTGCGAACCATGTGTGGCATATGACAAGCTCTCCATAATTGTTAGCTGCTGTCATTATCATCTCTCTTTTTAAAAGGTTGTCGCCCTGGCCGGTTTGGCGCAGTGGTTAGAGCATCGGCCTATGGTCCAGAGAGACCCGGGTTTGGTTCCCGCTAAGGGCATGTACTACGGTTGCAGCTTGTCCCGGGCCCTGGTTGGGTTCATGTGGGTGGCAACCACTCAATGTGTCTCTCTCACATCGATGATTCTCTCTCTCTTCCCCCCTTCTCTCCTGCTCTCTCTGAAGATAAATGCAAAAATGTCCTCTGGTGAGAATATAAATAAATAAATAAATAAATAAAAGGTTGCCAAGAGCTTGCCAGGCTGGTAGTTTTCGCCTCTAGCCTCTTGAGGGTTAATAGAGTTACCTGGGTTGGGAGTGCTGCTAGCGGACCTGAGCTGCAGTTTAGATACTGCCCTGAACTTGCTGTGTGACCTTTGGAGAAACGGTGCCATCCCTAGGCTCAG